AATATAAATATATATTAAATATATATTAAATAATTATGATTGAAGAGATCAATCAAATTTTGTAAAAATATTTCAAATTATTAAATATAAATATTACGTATTTTATGACATTTTAATTAAGCAATTGGAATAATTAGCAATTTTAATGAAGCAATTTTATAAGTAATTTGGAATCAATTTTTTTAATCATAATATTAAAAAAACAATTAATATTTTAATTTTATAAATATACTTATAAATATACTTTAATATTATATCTCTGGGATATATTATATCTCAAAATAAGTTTCCATTAAAATCTATTTAAAAGTAATAAACAAAAAATATAATTTTATATATTTGTACTGCTAAAGTATAATTCAAAATCTCTTTATGATCATTTACAAATTCTTCAATTACTTCATAATACAAAATTTCTAATAAGTTACTTACTAGAAAAACATTAACTGCAAATTTATTAGTGAATTCAGATTCACTAATAATTTGAATAGTAGCAATGTTTTATCGTACGTAAAACAATCTAAGATACATAAAATAATTCTAGGTAATTGAAGTTTTTTTTTTTTATTTATTTACAAAATGTTTTTGTAAAATTTGTAAAATCATAGAGGATTATGTCATACTATATACTTGATTATGCTATATAATTATCACCTTTCGGTTTATTCGGTGGGACCCTCATCTTTTCTGAGAGGGAGACTATGGAAACCCTCTTTCTCCGCAAAGAAGATGTCATGATGAACTTCTTGTGAAAAGTGACACTGGAACAAATTGCAGAACTGACTACGACCCGATCGATTGTACCAACGTAGCTTTATACTAACGCTGAAAACCTCCCACTCTTTTACGCATAATGTGCGCTTAAACGATGGCACATTACGTTATCATTCTCATCCTTCTTCATTGGAGTCACATTGGAATCACTGTACAGTCGAATGAAATTAATCCAATTTAATTATATGCTTGTTCAATATTCTTCTGTCGGATTGTCTTTTCTTTAATATTAATATTAATTATAAATATACCAATTTAAATTAGCGTTTAATTATTGCATTGTAAACTAGTGTAAAGTTAAATGGTATTAGTTACATTAAAAATTTAAAAAATACATTTAAAAAAATTTGTAACTATATTCTAATTATTCTTTAACTTATCAAAATTTTAAAGGAATACAAATTGATCATATATTGATAAATAATCGCATTTTTTTGCGTTCCACAAAGATAACATGATTAATATAAACGATTTGAACATCATGATGGATAATATTTGTATTCTATCAGATAAAGATTTGCTCTCGAGTAAATTTCGTTGAAATAAAAAATTTATTATTATATCTACTGATCAAGACATCGGACAAACATAATATAATTGCTAAACTGTACAGAAAGGACAGAATTTGAGATAGATAACTGAAACAAAGATAAATTAATTAATATATCTTCATATTTATATTGTTCTAAATATACTTAATTACATTCATTTACAGTATTAAACACAGGTAGAAACCTGTGTCCTAATAAATATGTATCAAATATTACAATAATTACTATATAAATATTTTTACAATTTATTAACATGGACATTTGTTTTACAATAAATCTTTAGTTACTTTTATTTATCTCGATAAATATATTTAGAAACAATTTTCTATATATGTATTTACAGTATATTTTTTTCGCGATAAGTTTCTATATATATCTTGTAATAAATTTTTCCATAATCGATTTCCAGATATTTCTTTTATAATCAATTTAATGATTGTTTTAATAATTTTATTCGTAGAAATATACTTTAAGACAAATTAGTTTCAATGTTCCAAATAAAAATTTTATTTAATATCTTATTTTTTCTGAGATAATCTTTTAAAAACTATCGGGCACAATTTTAAAACCTGTATATTGTATTACGTACATAGGTAGTACATGTGCGACAGTAAGTTCAAACCTAAATAAAAAATAAAAATTTGTTCTTATATAATAAATGTGAGTAAAAATCTGTTTTATAAATTCAACTTATTCATCAGTTTAACAATTATGATGGCGTTGGTGAATATAAGGAATGGACAGTGAATATATTTATATATATATATATATATATATATATATATATATATAATAATACTATAAGATTACATTATACTTTGTAACGAAATAATGATATATACAGCGTTTTTGTGAATGATAAATAATAACTTCGTGATTGATCGATAATTTCGATTATTCGGAAGTTCACTCCTAACAAATTGGTTTAAATCACATGTTATAAAGGTCCCATAATAAGTTTCCTAAGAACATATCAAAGTTGAATTTATTAAATTTCAAGTCTGCGTTTCTTCTTTGTCTCCTTTCCGTTTCAGCCGTTCTTCTGGATCATTCCACCATTGCATCTCGCCTTTGCCAAATATCACAAACACTAAGTTACCCAGAAAATAGATTATCGCCGAGACGTAGAACACAATGTTCCATTGATACACGCTACTCTGAAAAGCGAGAAAGTTATCTCTCGATAACTATTTCATTGTTCTCGAAGCGATTAAGTAAGTTTATTAAGAATAAACAAGTATATGGAAAAAAATAATCTTATTGAAATATCTCAAAATTTGAAAATACAAATCTGAAAATAGATTTATTAAACCGTGAAAATTATTATGCAGAGCTACTATAAATTTTTGTATATTCTAACAAACATTTTGTCTTACATAATAATTTTGACGACTCCATAAAATTATTTTCAAATCTATTTGTAGTGAAATTTCGAAATACTGCAGCAAAGCTATTGTTCCCATGTAGGAAGCTTAAGAAACAGATATACGCATACACAAATAAAAGGCAATAAATAAATTAGTTAGAAATAATATTTAGAAATAAATATTTAGAAATAGATTGCTAGAGCGTTTGCAGATATTTTATGCAGAAAATGATTACCTCGTCACTGACAATCACGCCGCATATTAGCGGTGCGATGATGGAGGTAATAGTAGCGGCGCAGTTGGTGATGGACATCATAGTACCGGCGAAATTTGGACTGAGATCAATATGATTGATTTGGAAGCCACATAAAGACCCAGCGTTCAAACCTACTGCGATAATGAGGATGATAATAGCCCAAGTGTAATCATCAGTGGGTACTACACCCATACACGCCAGGGCGATGGCTGGACCCCAATGGGCCACCGAATTGGAGATTTTTCTGACCGCCCCTCTGGACGCACCTTTCTTCAGAGCAAAATCAGATAGCCAGCTCATGGGAAAACTAAGAATCCACATCATCAAGTATGGCAAAGCGGAAAATCCACCGCTCTGTAAAAAGAAAAGTATTTTATTAATTGATTAATTAATTAATTATTTTTTATTAATTAAAGAAGAAATAATTCTATCAAAGTAAATAAATTTGCATAAATTATTAATAAATGACACAATAATATATATAATTGTATGAACTATATCGAAAATAATCCTACTATTTTATATACCAAATGTTTCTCATTCAGCAATGTAACTATCACAATATATACTTATATTATTGAGTAGAAAATTATAATATAATGTTTCCCTGACGAAAATATTTTGTGCTAAAATTTTTTCTCATCTGACCCCATTTTATTATCATTTAAAAATTTTTTATTATTTTTCAATAGTATCCCAAACAGTACAAAGTTGCGCGACTATTAGTCGACTATAAGACAGAAGAACTCGACTTTAGTTGGACTAAATGTCAACTTATAGCCGACTAATAGTCGACAAATGTCCCAACTATAGTCGGTTACAAGTCAGTCGACATATCAGTCGACTTTATGACAACTAAGTCGACATTTTTTACACCCTCCCTTCTTATTCAGGGGCTCGAGCCATGCTTGATGCAATCTCTCCTGCACCAGGAGGATTATTTGTATTGTATTTTGCCAGGAGGATGTCATCGCTACAGTCCGACCTGCATCCATCATCTCTCTGGAGTACCAGTCGTGGGGATTCGAGAGAATATACATGTATATATGTATATTGTGATATATGTATATATGTGTATCATTGTATTGTTGACGTGTTATTCTAAACACGTTATGTGACGATATTTATCAATATCTACATGTCTTTGTAGTCGAAAGGATAAGATGCCTGTCTGGTAAGCAAGAGATCCTGGCTGAGGTGGTATTTTTTCACAAAATAATTACGAGTTTTCACGATTGGTTCATGGTCAGGCCCCGCCATGACGCACATCCTCCTTTCTTATTTGAATTATGGCGACTTTTACGGCTAACTTTTACAGAAAAGTCAACTTTAGTCGGCTAAAAAAGTCAACAATTAGTCAGCAAATAATTATGTGCTGTGTTGGATATTAACTTTTTTTATATTTTGCAATATTATATTTAATTTTATAAGAAAAATTAACATTCATTTTTAAGTATATTCAGTAATTTTTCAATACCTTCATTTCTCTAATTTTATGATGTTTTATCATATTTATTCTTAAAGAACTTAATATAATAGTTAATACTTATAAATTTTTCATAAGTATTATATATAAGTAATACTATAATAATACTATTAAAATATAAGGAAAGTTAAAAAAACTGTTAAAATTTTTTGAAATCTTATACATTGTGAAATTTATTCAAAATTGCATAGATTTTTAGAATTTTAGATGGAATAATAATGAAATAAGACCAATTGAAGAAAAATTTCAGCAAAATATTTCCATCAGAATTGTGTTTACTGGATTTTCTTTCCATTTTATTAAATTGTTTATTGCTTACTGCTTCGACTTTGAAATTTAACACCCCTGTCATATAACTTGGTATCTCCGTCAATAGAGTCCAGTATCCCCAATTTTGACCACAGTGAACTATTATGAGAGCCCACATAGGTACCGACGTGAAGATCTCCTTCCATGGTGTTTGCATCTTCTAAAAGGTATAAAATCATCCTAAACGTAAATATCTTGTATTATTTTTATTATATGTGCAATCTTAATAAATTATTATATGTATATATATATATATATATAAAATTTAAAAAACTTGTTGTCTTGCAATAGTTTGTTATAATAATTTATAAGGAATATGTTTAAAATATGTTTAAACTAGAAAAACATACGAAAATAAGATATATATATGTAACAAAATCATTAATTAATTAAGTTACTAAAATATATGATAATGGATTTAGTAATGTTTCGTTTTTACCTGTTCGACGTCATCGCCTGTTGTTTTGGTTGTTTTCAAACTGTCTTCTATATATGATTTTTCTTCCTGAGAAATGCTGCGATGTTCGGAGGGCGAGTCTGCTCCGAAATAAAGAAACACTATGCTCCAGATGATCGCTAATGCACCAAATATATAAAAGATACTGGGCCAACCTGCATTCGATGCAGCGAGAACGCCAGCAATTGGCATAGTGACTACTGTGCCAAATTGGGCACCCGCATAAGCGAATGTTCCTAAGGTACAAAATAGATTATTTAATTGCGAAAACATACCATCATAATTAATTACAATTATGCTAAGCGAAGCATTAAATCGTTTCTATTTCTTATGTTAAATTTTACTTGTTTATCAATAATTTTTTAAAATCTCTGCTAGTATAAAGAAAGAGGGAGAAGGAGAGAAAAATGCAAATCTAAATCTGAATTCTAATAAATTATATTTAATTTTAGATAAATAGGAAATAAAATAAAAACATAAACATGATATCTCTGTCAAAAACTTAACGAAATTACTAATCTGAATTAAAATTAAATAAACAATTATTAATTAATAAAATTAATTTTCTCGATGAAATGTTCGAATAAAACCTTTGTAATTTCTTTAGTCCATTGTTATTTTTTAAATTTAAAATGCATATGTATAATAAATCGGTAATTTTTACGTCAAATATTTTAATTTTTTTATATATAAATATTTTTATATTTTCTCATAATACAGTCTGCGGTCGATTGCTCTCTGATTGAAACGTATCGGGCGCGAGTTCTGAATCTATTCTCACCCAGTCGTGCTCTTTCAGAGGGTGGCGCCCACTTTGAAAGGAGTGTTTGGATGCAAGGTAATAGGCAAGCCTGAGTGAGACCCATGCCTACCCTGCAAACCAGAACAGCTGCCAAACCCCATTGATGGGCGACAATCGGCGTTAAAACCTTGAAAACCCCGCAGAGCAGCATCCCGATGGCAAGGAGCTTCTGACCGCTCCAGACACTGGCGATGTAGCCGCTCGGCACCTGCGTTATCGCATAGCCCCAGAAAAATGAGCTGAGCACCAGGTCCTTCTCCTTTTTAGTCCAGTCGAAATCCTGACGATGTAATCAATGATTTTTTTTTTTAATAATTTTAGATTTTGATACCTAAAGAAAATTTAACAATTTATGAATGATGTTATGTAATTTTCAATAGAAAAATTATTTTAGATCTGAAATAACTTTTAAAATTATTATATAATACATATATAACTTGTGAACGCACATGTCTTCTATAATAAAGAAGAGAGGTATTTAAATTAATTTTGAAATTAATTATTTTACGATGTATATTATTTGAATTATTTCTATTTATTTATATATAAAGACATACACAGAAAAAATTAGTCTTAAATCTAATAAGATTAATTCTATGAAATATTCTCGCAATTATATATAAGCAAGAATATTATAATCTTCATATAATTATTATTTTTAATTATTTTTAGTTTTGAATTAAACAAAAGTAATACTTGCATCAATATAAATTCAATCAAGACTAAAATTTGCTAAAAAAGTTATAACATTCTTGTTTGTATAAGAGAATATTTGTTTTGATTTAAGACTAATCTTTTTTCTCTGATCTATATAGACATATATTATGTTATATTTCTACTTAATTGTTTGTAATTAAAAACATTATAATTTCATATATTTATTGAAATTTCTTAAGCTGTTAATTAAATATCAATAATTGTCATCTGCACGCAGTCCTGATCTTTCTTAATTTTGTGGCATAAGCACGAATTCAAGAGTGATAATGTGAGATAAATCCGCGAAGATTATCGCAACAGTCGGGAAAACAATGATGGCGATTACAGTCTGACAATTCATTGTCTGTCGATAGTTATTATTGGCCTTGCAAAAACAACGATAGCCGTTATCTGCACACGAGATCCGTGCAAAAAATCGCGCAAGGGACTGAATGTATCAGTCAAGAGTGAATGTATCAGCCTTGCTGTTCTACGACGGGTCAACGGGGAAAAGAGTCAAGACACTCGTCGGCGGAGATTTATCTAATTATTATGATTAATCTGGCGCGCGAAAGGGAAAAGTACGCCATCGCGACCCCCGATGCACTTTACTTCCCCGATTATGCGAGGAAATTTTCCTTTCTCCGTCATAGATTCCACTGCTGGTGACGGCGCGATCGCGAATTTATGAGATAATATGACCGGTAAAAATCAATCTATCGACGTAAGCAGTTACGCACGATCGGGCAAATTTAATAATTCAACAACTTCAGTTGCGGACGACTCGATATAACAGTTTACAGCGATATAACAAATTGAATACGAAGTCCGATATTGTGAATTTTGCAAATTTTCTAATAAAATGTTTAAAAAGAAATGTTTTTAAAAGATATATAAAAAATATTCCATCTGTGAAGTATTCGATCAAGTTTAGAAATCTCTCAACGTGTAGAAATGGAAAATTACATTACAGAGATTTGTAGCATTATTTTAAATTAATATTACAAAACCGTGAGAAAAATGTGAGATGCAGGATAGCAATTCAACCGTATGAAATACAAAAGGAATTACGAGCATTATTGCATATACAGGGTTTTCCTGAGCGGCAAGTAATGAGTTCATCGTCAAGCGTTTTATCGTTATATAACGTACCCGGTATGTCTATCTGACAATCGTTAGAACGTAATCTCGAGTATTTCAAATTGTTCGAGCGCCGGTTTCCAATCGATAAAAAGATAGATACGGTTACGTAATTTACCTCGATAATCGGATTTGCGGTGCTCGCGTTTGCCATCGGTACCACGGCCACTGACATTCCAACCCTGAGACTGTAGCCGATGGTCATACCGAGGAATAACAATAGCGCCTGTAGATGCCTGATGCCGAAGATACCTGCGAAAAGGCCATTTCTTTATTCCAAAAAAAAAATTAAATAAGCTAAAATTATTATTTGTAAAACTTTCGAGAATTTTGTTATTCAATTGCCTATATTTGATAAAATTATTATTATTATATTATTATATATTATATTATAAGCTGTATGCGGAAAGAAAGCTTTTGTTAAAATATCTAAAAGTTTGGCAAGATATAAATCTAAAAACAATTTTATGAGCTTCATCAAAATTATTATGTAGGATAATAATATTGCAAAATTGTTGACATTTTAGCAATTTGAATGTTCCACATAATTATTTTAATGGCCCAACGAAATCATTTTCAGATCTAGACAAATCTTTAAATTTTATATATGCTTCAGCCTCTTTCCGTATAGAAACGTTAGGAATCTCTCACAATTTTTAAAGATTTTATTATATTTATATATGCTTCAGCCTCTTTCCGTATAGAAACGTTAGGAATCTCTCACGTCGTAAGATATACTCGACGCTTATCGTTTACATGTTTCATTTGGATCTCTCTCTCTCTCTAAAATTCAAGAATTTTCGGCGAACAAAGAAAAGCTGATCGATCTAAAACAAATCATTTGAATATCGAATTTTAATCGGATTTTAATCGGAATTTTAATCGGAAAAATACCTCATCATAGCATTAAGATTAATTTCAGATCAAGATTAATCTCGTGTGTTAGCAATAGTTAAATAAGCGACAACAAGGTTATTCGAAAAAATGATAAGCGAATATAAAATTATATATGTAGCCTTGGAAAATCATTAAAAATTGCATAATAAAATGTTAATTAAAATGTTAATTACAGTGATAGATTATAATTAATGATAATGACAAAACACAGATAAATGCAAAGTTGTATAATAATAACAGGAAATAATGATATGATATATGGATATAATAATAATAAAAG